TTGCCGTCGGTTTGCCATAAAACTGCAAACCCATGGTATTAGGGCAGGACGTACTCCCAGGTTCAATAGGCATTTGATGGCTGTAGCATGGTCAACCCTATCGAACGCTTTAGACAGATCTGTTGTGACAAGGGTGCAGGTGGAAGATGGTGTTGACGTTGACTTGTACATAAAGTCTAGGAGACTTACTAGTGCGTGGGTTGTCGACCTCTTCCGCCTGCAGCCAAACTGACGAGGATCGAGGTGAGGAGATATGTCTTCTAATATCCAGTTCGCGACAAAACGTTCACAAACTTTGGCAAGAAGTGAAGTCAGGGATATGGGCCGCAACTCATCAATATGTGGCGGTGAACACTTAGGTAGTGGGGTGACATTCGCCTCTTTCCACTGATGGGGGACGATCCCCTGCTTGATCGATGTATTGATGAGGTCGCAGAGAGGGCCGCTAATTTCACATGCGAACTCCTTCAGTATGACTCCTGGCAGACCGTCGGGTCCAGGGCTCTTGTGGGGGTTGGTAGAGCGTAGGTGGGCATAAACTTCCCAGACTTCAATGGTGGGAAGTGAGAAGTCAGGTAAGAATGCAGGCAGTGATGAAGGATCCAGAGGTGGTAAGGACTGTGACACTTCAGCGAATTTGCGGTTTATTTCGTTGGCTATCGCTGTGAAGTCATTTTTGGTCGATGTTAGGTGTATTGATAAGTGTGGTCTTCCTACTCATATTGCACATGTCCTTGATGTTCTTGTGCCAAGTTCTGGGGTTTTCCTTCTTGCGTCCTTCTACTCTGACTTTGTAAAAGTTGGACTTTGCTTTGCGGATCTCTTTCTGCACCTTGGTATTGTAGTACTTGTATTTAGCTTTGAGTTCTGATGAGAAAGCTTCCTGTCTCTTCCGGATGAGAAACTTGACAAGTGGGGTTACCCAGGGCTTGTCATTAGGATGAAGTTTCACTGTTTTTACTGGGAAAAACCTGTCAATAGCATGGGTGAGTGTTCCGTAAAATGCCTTAGCCTTGTCGGTCGCGGTTGTCGCGTTAAATACTTCTTCCCATGTGTAAGTGGTAATCCATCTCCCAAAGTCGCTTAATCCGGGTTCGCGTATTGGTCTTGTAGTCTTCTTTGCACACGTGTTTTGTTTAAGTCTCACTTGGGGTTTCCACAAAACACAGTTGTGATCACAGAGCGATAACGGTGGTAAGATTTCAGGCTTCTTGTAGCACGTTCTCATGTTTGTGATTATGAGATCGAGGATTGCATTTCCCCTGGTATTGTTGTTTACAACTTGAGAGAAATCCCGGTCTAGAAGGATGTCCTGGATCTTGGCGTGGTTGAAGTCTCCTACAAAGGTAAGTCCGATGTTAGGATACTTTGTGCGGAGCTGATCCGACGCAGTGATGAGGTGTTCGACGAGTTGATCTTCATGGGGCGACTGTGGCGGTGAGTAAACAGTACATATCGCAATAGACGAGAACTGACGGGATAGTTTGTGTGGCCGCACGTTGACCCATAGGCACTCAAGAGGCTCGGGGACAGAGATTTCAGAAATGATCCTGGATGGTATGTTTTCACGTACATACAGAGCAACTCCCCCTCCTCGACGACTTGTACGGGATTTGGTGTAGACAGTGTAGCCGTCAATCGTTTGTTCTGGAGTAGTAGGAGTAAACCAGGTTTCCGACACAGCAGCAATATCAACATCGTTATTCGAAAGCACTCCTTGAAATTCGTCCAACTTGTTCAGTAGAGATCTTGCGTTGGTGAGCAGGAATGTTGGAACAGGTGTGATGCTGTTGGGAGAGATGTTGTCTACAGGCTTGATCACTGTAAGGTTTGCGCGGGAAATTCCTGCAGACAACAACCCATCCCTGCCGGAGTTAATTAGTTCACATCCCCTCCCTATTACTGTACCAATATTGCGAATAAAGTGCCTACCCGCTTTCTTTCCTCTGGGACGGCTTGCTCCCCTGAGTATTCCGAAGTCTCGTAACACGGTTTTCACTTGTGGGTTTGTTCTTGAGCTACTGTTCTTGAGACTCCTCATAAATTCCATGGTGTATTTGAACAGCGTCCTGGGCGCCATTGTTGTCCACTATTGTGAGGTCCTCGGTGAAAAGGGGTTCAAATTTTCACTCTTGAATGCCGTCCAGTGTTTCTGAGAGACCGTCTCGATGATCCAGGAGCCTTTACGAGCGTATTTGAAAACAAATAACATACTGAGTAGACAGTTTAGCTCGTAAAAATTAGAAAGTTCCCAGCAGTTGGGGAGCCCAAATTAAACCGTGGCTGCCCTTAGAAGCGCCACCTATCCCGACCTGTTGATGTTGCGGTACGGTAGGGAATTTAAGCGACGGTCATAACTCGCCGTGCGTGCTTTTTGTCCGTACGTTTTTGTCGTGGCTACGTCTGCTACGTTTTTTCTGCAAACGTAGGGTGGCCGGCCGAGGGAGTACGTCACTCGCAAGGTGTACGTACGTGGTCTGCACGACACGCCTGGCCGTCAGCGGTTGCGTGCATCGTATGTTGCGCAAGTGGTAAGTGAGTTGCACGTGCTTGCAACGTACGGTCTCTGTGCGATTGCCACGTTGCCGCGTACAGGCCGTACCTACACGTGCGGCGTGCGCACGATTTCCTTACTCACTCGCACGTTGTAAGTGCGTGCACCTCCTGTTAACTTCATCATCACTAGCCGCCCTGGTGTCTTCCGCGGCCCGTTTCTTTGGATCTTGTCTGGTAGACTTCTTTTGAGCCTTCCTGGGCATCTTGGAGACGAGTTGGCAGTCGCCCGTCAAGTCGTCTTTATATACTGTAGAAATCAGGTGCGTTGCACGTGCGTTGCACGTGCGGAGCACCTGGTATGGTGCACGTGTGTTCTGCGTGGTCATTGAGCAGGTCAACTGGGAAGTGAGGAGTAAGCACGGATGACGCAAGCACCGTGCGTGGCACTCACGTGCTTCGTGCGCTGTCCGTACAGCAATTGCACGTGAGGATAGTGAAGTTAGACTCACGGAGTCCGTACGTTGCACGCTCATAGGCTGTACGGGGCACGCGCGTCGCACGTACTCGCACGCACGGGTGGTAAATCCGCAGACCGCACGTAGAAAAAGTACATGCACTTAAGGTTCTACGGCGTGTCTGCGTGCTCCCAAATCCGTAGGATTCCGTACGGAGGTGGTACTCACCACGCACGGATGCCCTACGTTTGCCCACGTTTTTGCACGTAGACAGCACGCAGAAGCACGTACGGCGAGTTGTGACCGAGGCTTTAGGTACGTCCGATTATGCATGAGTTCTCAGCTAACACGACTTTTTTCTGATGGCCCAAGAAAGTTTCAAACCTGCCCTTTCACCCAGGTCATGCCAAGTTATTTTTTCATACTAGATCGTACAGTATACAGTCTTTTTGCCCAATAGAAACAAAATTTGTGATGTGGTTCAAATCATGTTTGCATCATAGTAACATACCGTATGCACAAATAACACAAATGCATGAATGTTTCGAGGCCAACTTTGCAGGAAATACCCCAAGGCCAGATGTGCCGCACTCTGAGGACACAGAGGTGTCAATTAGCAGCGGTTAAGCATGCAAGTTGTTGACAGGTGATGTTATTTCAACAAACAACTGTTAGAATATTTTTCCACGGTTGACAGCTCCCTGCCTGTAAATTTTTATTTTAACCTACATTTGTAGTAACGTTACATAAAACGTTAGAGAAGGAGCAAAACCTGGCCTGCTCTTATGAAAATGTTCTCACAAAATGTCCCATTGCACTTACCCACTACCTACTAGAAACTCCAAACTTGAAACCCTCAATCTAAACTCCTTGACCTATCCACAATAAAAAAAACAAGACATTGCTTTTCCACAACTTGAACTACTGACAAACTAACCAACAATCACCAAAAGCCCACTACAGCAACGTACGGACCTCCCACTTCGCCAATTTTGCAAGGGATCTGTTGTTTCAACAAACAGGAATTTTTTTCCAGCTATCCTTGTTTGCATAAGTCAATGTAATCCGCAGAGGGTGGAATCTAAAAAGGTCTAGTGCAGTATAAAAGACATTTAGATTTCTTTTATCGATTAATCAAATTGGGTCACAATTTACATAATTAATATCTGTTAATGTTCCTCTTCCTTGATTAAATATGCCACCATTTTAATTGTTCTATTATGAAACGCAGCAGATTTATAGACTTTTGTCATTAATTATGTAAATTAGATCTTGATTTGCATAATTGTCATCTAATTAGGTCAAGCATCACTTAAGCTACCGTGATACCAAAAATAACAACAATCCGTCAACCGGTTCTTGAGCTATCCTACTTTAAACATTTTTAAACAAATGCCTCTGCATTTCCCAAACAAGCTGCTACAGGACCCAAACTTATGGCACTTCTTTGTGAGCACAAGAGCTACGTACCATAAAAAAATCATGACCCTAGCACGTCCAGATCACGAGATTTAAAAACCAGAAGTTTCGCTGCAGTAATTTATAATTCAATGACGTGGGGACCCCCCACGAAGCCCATATCCGAACTTGACCTTGGTATTTTCAATGGTAACTTGCCAACTAAAAAACATGAACATCCATTTAAAGATTCTCGAGTTATCTTGGTCACAAGAAAAAACACAAAAAACAAAGGTCAACTGCAGTGACATAGAAACCCCCACGGGGCCCATCTTTGAACTTGACCTCGGCATTCTCAACGGTAACTTGCCCACTAAAAATCATGAACATCCATTTAAGGATACTCGAGATATCTTGATGACAAGGAAAAAACACCAAAAACCAAGGTCAACTACAGTGACTTAGGAACCCCCCACGAAGCCCATTTTTAGCCTTAACAATGGCCACCCCAAATCAACCTGCCTGCCAAAAATCGTGAATCTCGGACCTTGCCTTCAAGAGTTATCGTGCCTAATCTGCCAAACAGTGCAAAAGCGATTTCATAGCCTTCTCCGAAGGCATAGCCTTCAGTCGAAGGCAATTATAGAATTATAGAATAGAATGATAGAATTTTAACACTTTGTCACTGTGTTTCCAGGGACCTCCCTAGGAGTGATGGATGTCCGTCAGTTTGTGGATGTTGGGCTGACCAATCACGTGGTTGTTCGTGGGTTGTTGCTTCAGAGCGGACACACATACTACGCTTCTGTGAGAGGTACGTAACGCCATCTTGGATCGCAGCCTTCCAACATGGCTGTCTGGACTTAATGCAAATTGTTTGGAAACTTGATTTTAGTTGATGATATTTCAGTGAATACTTTATGAATTGCATTGGAAATCTGTTTATTGAACTTTATTATACTGTTAACATAATCTGATCTGATTGATCAAATGTAGGTTTCCAAACTTCATGAGTTGAGTGTTATATTAAATTTAACTAAAGATATAACGTTAAGTAGTGACTTAACATGCAAACATTCTTTTACACCACTAGATTTCACAGAGTGCAACACTTTACAAATGTTTTTCTTCATTTATTTCAAGGACGTATACTTATGTTTGACCAATGTTTTCCAGCAACTGATCATGTTGGACCCCAAACAACAGCCACATCAGCAGGGTTAACGATCGACACCACACCTCCCTCTGTCACAAACACACGGATAGACGTGGGAGGGCGCTACCTCATGTCCACTGATGTCGTATCAGTCAACTGGGACGGGCTTTTCTTTGATCTAGAAAGTGATAAGTTTTTTATAGTGGTTTAAAACAGAACCAGGAAAATACGTGCTTGGGATAATACTAGCTACAACCTCTTACCAGTCTTAGCTATGTCATGCAAGTTAAGGTATTCTATCTATAATCCCACCTTGACTTTTATAGAGGCATGATGCCAACAAAAAACAATAATGGGTGAACTGGTTGACGGGGACAAACAAAATCAACAAAAATGTTGGGCATGCCCTATCAAGGCATTAAATAATCTACAGTCTGTACTTTTGCAAAGTTTTTTTTGAGACTCTTTCTTGTTCAAATCTCTTAAAACTTAAGACGCTCACCAACTCTAACAATAATCTTTTAAAGGCTTGTGGCAAATTAAATCAAAATCATGTCTTTGCAATAATACTTCTTGAATCTTCAGCCTTCTAAGGTGACTGTTTGGCACCAAACTTGGATTGGTTATAGGGTTAGGCAGCAGGGAGAAAGTTAACAAAGAAATGAGCTATCAAATCCAAAAGAAGTGCAGTGTCTTGGTTCCTGCCAATTGTCTTGTTGCAAGCAAAAAGGGCTTTACCCAACCTTGTTTCGTCTTATGGAAGAGACTAACAGTGACTGAAAACTGCATAGAAGTTTTGCCTGCTGGTTATTCATTCTGTGTTGAAAACACTTTAAATGAAGCTTTTTCTCTGGTCACATCAGAAGAACAAACACCTAAAGGTGCGGGAATGTTAACTTGAGACAAATTTAAGAGTGAACTAAAGAAGAAAAAAAGCTAACACCAGTCACTATTAAGGCACTAGGAATTTGGAATCAAGTGGAGATATTTAAGTATGTTGTGCCAGAAGGGACCTTTGCACCTTTGATGTCATCTCTTCAATACTGTGGCTTCAACTCTCCTTCATATCAAGTTTGAACTGTCATCGACAAGCTTCCCCTTGTTAGTTAACTTTTCTGCATAGCCTTCTCTAGTAATAAGCACAGACGTCTCTTTCGCAAGAATACCATGATTACTAGTGGTCAACGGACCATCCTAACTCTACTAAACTGCCTACAAAACAACGCGAACAGGAACATAAGCTGCCTGGGCATCTGACTTTCGACCTGACCCCCGACCCCCGACCCTTGCCCAGGGTCGTGACCTGTGACCTACAGGAAGTAGAGGCGGTCGGCCAGGTTGAGGGACGGGGCCTTGTGGATGCTCTGGCCCACCAGAAAGGCCAGCTTGTGGGCGTACTGGCACGGGGCGGGCACTCGGATGGTGCCCTGAAATGCACAATCGAAAACATAAATATTACAACAAGGTAGTCACAGATGGCAGACTTCACCTCTTACCCATAATGCTTTGCAACCCTGCCAGTCGTGCAGACAAACCAATAGAAGCACTCAAACTGTATGGCAATGCTTACTGGATGGAAACACACACACATCCACACACACACGCACTCACACCCCTTAGCAAACTATCAGTACTGAAATGTGACTGTCAGTAACTGTCACGCAGTACTGATATGCTACTGATATACTACTGATATACTACTGTATCACTAATTATTCACAAAATATGCAAATTTCCAGTAACAGATCAATAGGAAATCAGTAGTTCAATTTGAGAGACTGCAAGCAAAACCAGTAACCGACAGTAATGGATCAGCAGTAGATCAGTAGTAGACCAGTAGTAGATCAGTAGTTGACCAGTAGTAGACCAGTAACAGACAGTAGTGGATCAGTGGTGGATCAGTAGTTGAATCAGTAACAGACAGTAGTGGATCAGTAGCAGGTCAGAAGTTGGCAAACCAAATAATGGATCACAGATGGCCCCACACATACAACAGAAAAAGTGATGTACACTTCAATTCAGAGTATATTTTCTGAATAGTCTATTAAGTTTGTGCTTAATGTGCCCAAAATACCCAAGTAGATTTTTGGATGGTTGATATTCTTTATGTAAAATGGATCAATACCTTAAATGCATTGCCCAAATAATCCAGTTCAAGCCTGCAAATACACTTTCGATTTGGCTTGGTGAGGAGGGGGTGAGGATCAGTTGAACTTACCTTCTTTCTCTCTTTCTTGCCTGAGTTATATATTCTTTGAGATATGCTGTTGTTCTGCCACTGTCTTCAGAGCCTCCCCTTCAAATTTTTAATATAATGTTGGCTTAAAAACTGCCATTAGTCTTTGATAGACACATTTTACACTCAGAGAGATAAGCAGACATCCTTACCTTGGCTGGCTCCATTTTCAAAATGAGCCAACTGACATTACAGGTAAATGCACCAATCACAGTTTAGGCCACATCATGTGACATCTCCTTATTTGTTGATAAACCAGGAGGCAACCAATGTCAGTAGTTGACAGTAGTTGAACAGTGACTTCTAAAGCTGACAGAAGCATGTCAGCAATTGCCAGTAGCATGTCAGTAACTGTCAGTAACTGTCAAGACAGTAACCGTAAGTAAGAGATAAGTCAGAAAAATTCAGTCAGGAAGCATCAGTACTTGTCAGTTGCATTGCAGTAGTGACAGTTAAGCTGCTTTACTGAATTAAGACTGAAATGAGACTGTTAGTAACTGATCAGTTGCTGACAGTCACATATCAGTACTGGTGGTTTGCTAAGGGACACACACACACAGACACACACACACTCACACACACACACACAGACACACACACACTCATTCAGACACACACTCACACACACACACACACACGCGCACTCACACACACACGCACTCACACACTCACTCACACACACACACACACACACTTCCCCTTGAAGCTGAGTTCTGAAATTTCTCCCTTACTGGCCAGTTGTAGTAGAGGTGGCAGAGATTGTAGGTAAGACTTACTGGCCAGTTGTAGTAGAGGTGGCAGAGTTTGTAGGTAAGACTTACCGGTAGAGGTGGCAGAGTTTGTAGGTAAGACTTACCGGCCAGTTGTAGTAGAGGTGGCAGAGTTTGTAGGTGAGCCTCTGCATGTGGTCAGGCTTGAGGCCGGACGTGTCCCACACCACGTTGTAGTGGCAGGGAGTCACCGTTCCCTGCCGCACCGACTGGGACACCAGGAAGAAGTCATACCTAGTGGGAAAACAGAATGCAGGGTTTGAAATGCCTTTTTCTGCACATCTGTACTGGTGCAAGTAACACTGAACATTACCTGCACCAGACAAATTTTACCTGCAAAGCTCGGATTACCGATCATACTTAAACTGTTCAGAAACTATTCACAGGTGATAACAGCCAAAGCAGTAAATAGAAATCCACACACACCTACATATAAATATAAACTGAGCACAAGGACCAGTGCAGGTTAGATGCAGTTCATCAGAAAAACCTCCAATTTTATTGCACAAACCTGCATATACCCAGTACATGGACCAGTGCAAGTTAGTGCAGGTATAGACATCAGAAACACCTGCACAGCTCTAATTTTACCTGCACTAACCTGCATATACCCAGCACATGGACCAGTGCAGGTTAGTGCAGGTATAGACATCGGAAACACCTGCACAGCTCTAATTTTACCTGCACCAACAGTTAACAGGTGACATTTGAGCTCATAGTACACCTAACACCTGTAAAAACATGCGTGACCTTACCACTCTGGTCGGGTGACCTCTGTGTCCACCACGGTTCCAGGAGCGGGGTTCTGCAGTCCGCGCCCGGCCTGGGCGAAGAAGCGGGTGTTGATTCGCTTCTTCACCACGATCCACGCCACCTTCGGCCTACGGGTGCGAGAAAAAAGTCGTCAACAGAATCAGCTTACTTTAATCCTAACTCAACTTTCGCCATAATTCAACTTCCTTGTTATTTTCATTTATTGAACTTGTTCTGACAGATTTGAAAAAAAAAAAAGAAATCTGAAAGTAGCTGGCAACAGAAACAACTTGGTTCCTCTATAAAACCGGCTGCTTAGGAAATATACAATGCAAAAAAAGACGATCAAAAGATATAAAGTTGTATTATACAAAATTATTGACATGAGAGTTTATCTGTGAGCAAATAGACCAATCCAATGACCTCCGTCATCACGTCAAAACGTAGAAATGCCATAGAAAAACTTATATTTGACAGACATGCAGCCACTCTCTCATTGGTCAACCTGCTAGTTGCCATGCTATCATTGTTTAAACTGGTAATGATGATTGACAGCCTGCATCGATCTAATTGTGTGGAAGTTCGGAACTATAACTGTTGAACTAGAAACAGGGTTGTACCCAGAAATGTCTCGACATGCACCCAGACGTTGTGCCCTTGGGAAAGGCACTTTACACGCATTTCCCCCCTCAGTAGGGATCCTGGGCCCTACTAGGGTTTGGGTTGGCGTTAGGAAGGGCATCCAGCCGTAAAAAAAAGTCTTGCTTCAAAAAAAGACTTGCACTTTGATGCTAGCAGGTCTAATCCCCGTTTTGGGGAGAAGGACGTTAAACTGGACAAGAAGAAGAAACAGAGAGGCAGGCCACTCACTTGTAGTCGGCGCCCAAGTTCTTGAACGTGTCCAGCACCTGCGGAATCTCGTGTTCCAAGACCGCGCCCAGCTGTCCGTCACCCACGCCGTCGCGGTAGAAGATCACGCGGTCCGGGAGGTTAGAGTTCAACTCGTAGAACTTCTTCAGTGCAGCTGTAAGGACAGGAGGACCACAAATCCATGATCATATTTCACTTTGGGGAAAGTAACTAAAATAGACTGGCTTGGAATGAAAGCAGTAGTCTGAAAAACGCAATCGTTCCGGCTCCACTCTTGTCGTTGCCAAAGATGTCTAAAAACATCTGGTAATCGAACCCATGGCCATCCTTCCTGACCTTATATTAGACGGCAGATTTGGCTTGACCAATTGGCTTGGCTATACCACTCCTATTCCTTCAAAACAGAGCTAACCATACCTGGAAATCGAACCCATGACCATCACCACCCATCCCTTCAGATGAGATCTAACTGTTGCTTAAACAAAGCATTTTTCCAAGCGATTAAAAACAACAACAATAAAGGTGGTGTTTAAAAAAGACACCGGCGACGCGAGAAAATGCAAATCAGACTATATTTGCAAATTCACCTGAAATTATATATACTACAAATCGCAGGTTTTCCGGTAAATTTAAAAACTAATTGCACATGCCGAACGATCACCGAGCAATTGGGAGCGAAACTTAGCGTGTCAACCACGTAATTCCGGCGGCTTACTGCGCACTTATTTGAACCCCCGGTCGGATTTTAACTCTGACCAGGAACCTTAATTCTCAGTTACTTTTGTCATATGTTTAGATTGATTATGCAATTAGAGTCTGATTGGCATAATTACCATCGAATTATATTATGCCTTATGCGCCATTCCCACTCGAATTCCCACCGATTTAATAGCTATCCTAATCGATCCGGTCAAATTTACCAGTGAGAACGCTCCCGATCCGGGTCGATTCGGCTTGATCTGGCTCGTATATGATCCACCTCGCAAGGTTAATCGAATCCCGATCGAGCTGGATCAAGCCGGGAGTCTTCTGTGTGTGAACGCTACCCGGATCGAACCGGCTTGGTTGGCGGGCTTAGTGACATCCTTCTTTCAGGTTCACGGGGTCAACATACGGACTGTGCGCAAATTTCTCCCCCAATTTTGCGCTTCTCTTTTCCAGCCGTTGTTTCATTTTCGCTTTAAAGTGCTCCCTACTTCTAGCACACCGTTTTCAAGGGATAAAGAATCGTCAAAATACCCTCGCCATGATGTATGAAACTTTCCGTCGACCTTTCAACCCCTTCCTACAATGCGGGACACCTGCAGCTTGTCTAGCTCGAGCCGATTGTGTGAACGAGACCAGGATCAGAAGAGATCCGGATACATTTTGATACGATACGGTAAAAATCCTAGTGGGAAAAGGGCCTCTCTTTCAAAATCTAAAACCGAACACTGATATGCAAATATCTATATTTTTCATGTATGAGTGTATCTTTTCAATTTCATCGCCAAGTAGTGAATTGAATTGAAATTTGCATTATGATGCCATCAAAAAACTGCTCCTTTTTGCACAAAGAATAACTGTCTTTACTGAGCATGATGTTTCGAATGTTTTTTTTTTATCGGAAGGAAAGTACATTCTTTCAGTTGTTGATAAGAAAGAAGTAAGAGCAATATATTCAAGCTTAATGTTTCAAATATTATTTCTTTCATAATATCGACGTGTGACAACCTGTGAACACAATTACATCTTAAATCTTACAAAATAGTATAACTACTAGTTTGTATATTCGATACAGCTGTATGTGATGGTATTTCCCGGTGTGATTGCTTTATCGATTTTAGCGTGGTATGGAAAAGTGAAAGTTAGTAGCGAGTCTTCAACTGGAAACAAATTAAAGGGACGGCAAGAATCACAAGATGGCGGTTAGTCCGTCGCACGAAGGGATTGTGTTTTGTGTGTGATTAATTTGCTGAATAGACTTTCAAGATACTATGTGAAGCGTACGTTAAAGCAGAAATGGAGAAGGGTGAAGAAAACCGGTGGTCAAGATGTATGTTGCACCTTATAATGATTAGACTTGGATCATATGACATGAGATGATTCGTTGGTGTTTTGTGATGTGATTCTATGTTGTACGTGTGTTGCCAGTCTTTTATTCATTCTTTTATTCTTTTTAGATTTTATTTTCTGTCCACAATGATACGGATGTTCTCGATCTTCTTGAGTAAACATGGTTCCGATGCCATGCTTTAGCTGTATCCGCCCATGCTGTCACACGATAGCTTGATCATATCTGCGTGAAAGAGAGAAACATCGGTGTACACTAAGTTCGCAAGTCCATCGTAGTTAAGTTTCAACAAATTGGCCGCCGCCATTTTCTCGCTCCCCGCCTTCGCAATGGCGTAACAACGAAGATCGAAAGAACTAAGTCAACATTCCGAATCTTGTTCAATGTATTTTGTAGTCACTACGGACCATAAAAAAATCGAATTGCATGGAACGCGCGAAAGCTGGAATGTTGACAACTTTGCGATTACGTCGTTAGAACTTTGCTGTTACGTCATTGCGAAGGCGTAGAGCGGGAAAAAGGCGGCGGCCAATTTGTCGACGCTTGGCGTTAGCCGCAACTTCAAACGGCCGGCAGCGCTCTTAACTACGCGTAGAGTAGAAAATCACCTTAGACATGCAATGCTTGATATAATGACAGGTTTTATTGAACCTCTTGTTCCCCTTTAACCGTGTAACATAAGACTCATCATTTCCACCAATCGTGGGCGAGCAGGTAATACGACGTCTCGATCTAGACGCCATGTGCCCAACATGATCCCAAAAGTTTCCCCCATACTGCAATGTGAGACCAGGACGATCACTTGTCCCCGACCACCCTCAATTATATAGCCTCCTTTGCAGACTTGATCGCGGTGGCATATTTTTTCGGGGAGCGACTTGAGTTATGCCCCAAAAGGACGGTTTTGCCGCCGATGGAAACCTCTCTCCTCAGCAAACTCCCTTGGCGGCAAAACCGTCCCTCCGCAGCATACAAGTAACTCCGGTATGGGTGTTCAGCCTGCCCGCCTACCCAGGTTCATTAGCGCACTGGGGTTTTCCTTGATAAGGATTTGACTAAAAAAATAGGATTCACGACTCAACAAATTATATGTTTGTAACACATTACAAATACAAGAGTTCCGCGATCTCATACCTTCGCCAAGTGATGTTAACCTTTATGACTGACGAATTATAGATTATTCTACCTGATTATGCAAATAGGATTCTAATTTGTATGAATTGCATCGGTTGATTATATTCTCTACCCAAAGACAGCCTTATCTTAACAAAGAATGCCATTCTAGCATTTCCTTATGAATTATGCAAATAAGGTCAACATCTACATAATTTATGTTTTATGATGCTCAACTTTACTTAACTTTCAATTACACCTAGCATTAATTAAATTCCAGGCAGTTACCACTATCGATTTATAACATTTTCTCATTTATTATGCAAATTAGGTCGTGATTTACATAATCAACATCTGCCTAAGTTTCTCTCGTTCTCAATTACATATGCCACAAGATTGAATAGTCCTATCACGGAATGCAGCTGATTTATAGAATTTCCTAATTCATTATGCAAATTACATTCAGATTTGCATAATTGTCACATAGTAATGTCAAGCATCACTTAAGCTACCTACATACAAAAAACACGGCGATCCGTCAACCGGTTGTTGAGTTATCGCCCTTGGAATTTTGGTCAAGAAACGCCCCTGCAGTTCCGGGGCAAGCCGCTAGGGGGCCCAAACTCACGTCACTTATTCCCTAGCCCACGAGCTATCTACCATCTCAAATTCGTGACCCTAGCATGTACAGATCACGAGATATCAAAACCGGAAGTTCAGCTGCAGTACCAAGGACAGCCGCCAGGGGGCCCAAAATCGAATCACTTCTAAGCCTCACCTAGCCCTACCCACCTACCAAGTTTCATGACAATCCATCAAAAGCTTCTTGAGTTATCGTGCTAAACCACACACACACACATCCCCCCACACACACATCCCCACACACACACACAAACGCGACGGAAAACATAACCTTCTTGGCGAAGGTAACAACATTAGGAAGTAACATCAAAACATACCTTTCAACTTACCTCAGACATGTAGTGCGAACTTAGACCATCGTAGGCTCCTGCTATCTCTACGGTACTGGGCTCAGCACTGCCCTCCCGCTCCGCCCGCCCAGGTCGCTCGGGGCCGGGTGCATTTCTGCTGTTCAAGTTCTCCGACGATATATAGTGCGCCCGACAGTCTTGACGGCAGCCTCACGTACTGTGTCAGGGCTGCCGCAGACACTCTAATAGCGGTTTGACTCCGCCCCTGATCTGTTCGTCTAATGTTACATCATGTAACATAAGACTCCGTCGGTTAAGGCTTCACAGGGATATAGTGTTACATCATGTAACATTAGAAGGACCACACAGCGACCAAGGACCAGGTGCCCGCCATGACCTCGCAAGATGTCAGGGGTCAACGTACTCAGTCGAACCGCAGGTGACCGTAGCACGCGTTATTCTCTGAAACACGGCATTTGCCTGGTCACGATTTTACCCCGGCGTTACATGGGTGTAAACAACTGCCTATAATGCAACAAAAAGGCCTTAGACCTACATAAAGTTTATACTTAATTTTTCAAATCTACAGGATTTTCCGAGTCTAACCAAGGAGCTTTCTTGGTCTAACTGTGTAGATATTTCGTGCATTGCAAAATGACAGCGAACACTACGGCCTTCCAAACATTAGCCTTTTTGGACAGTTTATTTGTGCCTGGTTCCTACACGAAGAATCTTTTAGCTTCTTAAGGATTATTTTCTTAAAACTATTTCCTATAGTTTATTTCTTGTACGAAGAATAAGTTTCTTAAGTCAATATTAAATCAGAACAAGGTTCTTGCAGCATGAAAGGTTCTTGAAGTAGAAAATTATTCTGTCTTTAAGAATTGATGTCTTGTACCCATTGATATGTTTCTTGAATTAAGATTGAAGGTTCTTGAAGCAGGAAAACAATTCTGTTCGTAAGAAAAGATTTCTTGAACAAAAATCTAACTAAATTTTCTTGTAGCAAGAAAACCATTCTGTCCACAAGAAGTCAACAAGAAAAAAGTTTCTTAC